GAGGATTTTCTACATAGATAATCATGTCATCTGCAAATGGAAGATAATTATACTTCCTTTCAAACTGTCCTTTCTTTCTTTTTTCTTTGCTCTACTGCGTGGGTACAAACTCCAGTACATTACTGAATAGAACTAGTAAGAGCGGCATCCTTACCGTGTTCCTCCTCCTAGGGGGAAAACATTTAGTCTTTCACCGTTAAGTATGACACGAGCTGTGAGTTTCCATAGATGGCCTTTATCAAGTTGAAAATGTTCCTTTTATTCCTAATTTGATGAATTATCACAAATGTTGAATTTTGTCACAGTTTTTTCTGCCTCTATTGACATGATCATCTGGTTTTTCTTTGTTAGTTCATTAACGTTGATTTTTCAAATACTAAGCCACCCTGGTATTTCTGGAATAATGTGATTTGGTCATGATGTACTGTCTTTTTTTCCCCCATATTGATGGAATTGATTTACTAATATGTGCCTCGTGTTCATGATATTGGTCTTCAGTTTCCTTGTTAACTCTTGTAATTTTTGATATAAGGGTAATTTGAGTAGTACTGGTGTTACTTCTTCCTTAGAAGTAGAAGGCATTGATTCATCAGGGTTATTTTCATTGTGTTTCATGTGATGAATATGTTTGAGAGTCATATGAAATCCACTTTCCATGTTGGGTTTACACCACAAGGACCTTAAACAAATTTGTAACCAGTTGACTGATTACCCATTTTTCTCTTAAAATATTTACAACTCTTATAACCATGCACACCTAAAAAAAAGTTGTTTTAAAAATATTAAGTTTAGGAGCAGCAGTGTGGCTCAGTTCGTTAATTATCTGACCCTTGACTTTGGCTTAGGTCATACTGGGGTTGTGAGATCGAGCCACATATCAGGATCCACACTCAGCATGGAGTCTGCTTGATTCTCTCTCTCCCTTCTCCATCTGCCCCTCTCCCGCTCGTGTTTGTCCACTCTGTCTAAAATAAGTCTTTTTAAAAATATTAAGTTCAGGGGTGCTTGGGTGGCTCTGTGGGGTAAAGCCTCTGCCTTCGGCTCGGGTCATGATCCCAGGGTCCTGGGATCAAGCCCCACATCGGGCTTTCTGCTCTGCAGGGAGCCTGCCTCCTCCTCTCTCTCTGCCTACTTGTGATCTCTGTCAAATAAATAAATAAAATCTTAAAAAAAATATTAAGTTCAGCATTATTTACAAAGATTTATAAGTCTGCAGTGCATATTCAAATACTGTATATACCACCAGGGAACATTTGGGGTAGTTTTCAAGTAAGCTAACATTAAAATCTACTAGCAAAGCTAACAACAGTACTCAGAATCTGGTTTCAAAATTGTTGAGTTGGAAAATATATTTTGCTTCTAAAACTTTTTTTCTCAGCTCTAGGGTCAGAGTTAGGGTATGTACCTGGTATTTTGCAGTTTAGAGATCTCTCCTGAGGGTTAGGGTTATGGGTAGTGTTAGAGTAGGGTGAGGGATTAGGTTATGTACCTGGTATCCTGCATTTCAGAGATCTCTCCAGAGAATAAAATCCCAGACTTCTGCTGGCACGAGAATAAACGTAGCAGCCATCCACTGAGCTGAGGCAAGGAGGGATTTGGGGCTCTAACTACTCTTTAAATACATATTCAGTTGGTCCTTTTGACTTCTACCTTCCGAACCATTTTAAGAAATACTACCGATACTTAAATGTTTGGGCTCTTCTCCAGGATAACTAGGCTGCTTCTCAGCTCTTCTTATTGTGTGTTCAGGAAGCCACTGTCTTCAGGTCTAGGGTTAGAATCAGGGTGTGTGCCTGGTGTTTTGCAGTTCAGACTTCTCCAGAGGGTAAGGGTTAGCGTTAGAGTTAAATTTAGGGGTTAGAGTTAGGTGTTAGGGTATGTGCCTGGTAATTGGTAGTTGAGTCCTCTGCATATAATAAAACCCCTGACTTCTGCTGGGGTTAGGGTTAGGGGCCAGCGGTAGGGGGTTAGGGTTTCTGCCTGTATTCCTGCAGAGAACTTGTTAGTTCTTGCATTGGCACTCATTGGATTTGTATAAAGTATACAGTACTTCTGTTACTTGTAAGAATGACTCACAGCCATACCCATTAGGATGGCTACTATAAAAACAAAAACAAACGAGGCGTTGATGAAGATGTGGATATTGGAACCCTTGTGCACTGGTGGTAAGCACGTAAAATGGTGTAGCTGCTATGGAAAGTAGTATGATAGTTCCTCAAAAAATAAAAAATATAATTACCACAGGATCCAGAAGTCCCACTTTTGGTATATTAAGAGAGGTTTGTACAGCTATATTCATAGCATTATTCATCATAGCCAAAAGGGGAAAGCAGCCCACATGTCCATTGATGGATAAATGGGTAGAAGAAACGGTGGTACATACATACAATGGAATATTCAGTCTTGAAAAAGGAAGGAAATTCTGACATACATGAATGAAACTTAAGGTCATTATGTTCATGAAATAAGCCAGTCAGAAAAACACAAATATTGTATGATTTTACTCATAGGAGGTAGCTAGGGACAGAAATTAGAATGGTGGTTGCCAACGGCCACCCAGAGGGGAGATATACTGGGAAGTTGTGGACTGGTCGTACAGTTTCCGTTGTGCAGGGGGGAAGGGCACGGGAGACGAGCTGCACGACACCGAATGCACTTGGCACTACTGAGCTGCACACTTAAGAAACAGTAAGGCTGGTCAAGTTATGCGTATTTTACCACAGTTAAAAAATAGCCACACGTTATTTGTAGACCAGCAGTGAACACACACCACATGGCAAGAGCCAAGGAAAATCATGACCATTTGTCTCCTACACGTTTCTGTCCCAGTTTGGAAACACTGATCTTCACTTTCAATACTGTGTGTCAGTGTTTCATGCTCTCACCATGCCGGTGACAACAAAACATCCCTCAGACACTGTGAAATGTCTTCTGCGAGGGTGCGGAGTCAGGAAGCAAAATCACCCCCAAGAAACACTGCTTTAGAATCACAAACTGTGCCTAAGTGCACAAAGTACACATTTTTACATATTGCTGCATTAGAAATCTTATGCATGCTGTATCTTATGGGCAAGTTACAGAATTTTTTAGGAAATACTTTTCAGTGTATAAGATCTTCACCCTCCTCACCAAATTCTAAATCTAAATTTTGTAAAAATCTGACTCTATGGTATTTATACAAAATTCATTTTTACAGAAATGAGAGCCTGAAACTCTGAAGGACTGAATTTATTTAAGAAATGATAAATACTATGGAATGTTTACTTCACATTCAGAGTATCAGGACCTTTGTATCTGTCATATCCCAGAAGGTATCTTTCAGACTTTAGAAATGTCAACTAGATCACTCTCTGGGCCCAAACAAGGAACATTTATTTGCCTTTTTGTGATGGGGTAGGTAAGAGAGACCAGCAGGCGAGTTAGGCTGAGACGCAGCCCACGAGGCTGGTTGTGGGTAGCAGCTTCGCAGCCGACACGGGCCTGGAAGTGGCGGGTCTGCCCCAAACTGCAAACTCTTCAAGGGTCGACTGCTCCTGCCTTGCTCACCGCTGCCTCCCTGGGAACCAGCCTGGGCCGGGCACACACAACACTCAAACATCCGAATAAAATAAATGAGGCTTAGCACATATTTTCTTTTACAATTATTTATTCAAAAACAGGGAATAGTGTAACCAGATTCTGGTAATAGTGTAGTAAAGAAATATATTCAATGGTACTAAAATCAATCTACAGAAAATATATAATTTCATTAAAGTGCAAACAATATATTTGAAATGGCACGTTTTTCTATATTTCAAGTCCGTATACTTTCTTACTTTTTAAAAGAACTGCCTATTGCAAATAAGAAATCCAGACTTTTTTCCTCTCTGCTTTGACTTCCTTTATACCATATTTAAATCGTCAGCATTTCTAAGTGCCTATATTTTCTAAATGTGTACTGGAAGGAGACACCGTGCGGTGGTATGACCAGCAGAGAGAGAGGTGTCAGGGCGATGATCTCCCTTAATCCAGACAACACTGTTCTCGGTCTACGATGTATTAGCTTATCCGGTAGCTGCTTTACTTGGTTCGCACTGAACTGACTGGTGAAGCCTAGATTCTTTTCCTTATTACCCGTGTACCTTCAGTGTACTATATTCTGGTCTTGGACAAGTTACTTATTTCTCTAAACTTCACTTCCTCCAGCTGCAAGCTAGAATAACCTCACTAACGCGCCGCGATATGCTACAGAGAAGGTATGGGAGGCACCCAGCATACAACACATTGTGTAATTAATACTTTAAAAAACTATCCATCTGTCAAAATCTTTAATTCTATCACCTGTGATTAGCTATTCCTCCTAGATTTGTTATCTGCAAATTTGGCCAACATTTCAGAACTACTATTAAGAATATTTGAAATAGGACAGGAAACTTACGGCATACCTCGAGGCTGATGAGAAGATTAATGTTACAGAATTGCATACATCAACTAACAAGAATCAGCTACAAATTCATATACCTGTATCGTCATCTAACTAGTAATTTCTTATTCCACCTACAAAGATTTCAAGGCTTTCTTAAAGAATTTATGTTTACTACAATCCCCTGATTTACTATAGTAATAAAACTTCCTGTACATACCAAATCTTCATTTAGGCAGTGTACAAGAAAAAGATACACCAGGATAGGTTTATAATTTGAAATGCAAAATAATTTTAGGAAGAGTTCTCCAGAAAACTTCTCTGGAATGAATTCTTAACCCAGGTCACTCAAGATTTCCACAGAGAAAGTCTTGCTGAAGCTCACCCTCCAAAATTACAAAATACATGGATAAACATTCCACCAAATACAAGATTCGACAGATACAAACAATAGGAATTTGATTTAATGTAGGGCTCTTAGAGAGAAAAACAATTTTTTAAGAAGAATTTATTTCTCTCTCAAGAGAGAAACCATGAGCGGGGGGAGAGGGAGGAACCCAATGTGGGGCTCGATCCCAAGACCCCAGGATCATGACCACAGACGCTTACCTGACTGAGCCATGCAGGCAGGCGCCCTGAAATGAAAAATCCATTTTTGAAAAAAGAAACATGTGAACAGTCTAAAAAGATTATACACAGCTGACAAGAGAATTCATAAACTAGAAGAGATATAAAGTCATCAGAGAGAAAGCACAGAAGGCTTTAAAAGAACAGAATGAGAAGACCCAATATACATTTTTAAGAAGAGAAACCATACCACGTCTTAGAAATGTGTTCTCCGTAATGTAACAGCTGCATTATTCAGTAACAATGGGTGATCTTCCAAGTGAAAATCCAGACATATTTCTTAACTACTAATTTGCTTTCAACATTGTCTATTTTTAATGTGGCTTTACCATGAAATATAGATGGTTACAATTTTAAATTTTTCTTCCTTTTATAAATTAATATCAAATAATTTATCATTCATATACAATATCTGGAAAACAAGTGTTAATTAAAAGCTATCTCAGTCCAGCAGTTTCTGTATTCGAATTCACACTCAAGCAAACACTGTCAGTGATGCTCCGCCCTCCAGTGGCTTCCGTTTTTGGCTAAAGCCTCTGTCAGGGATTTTACTGTGAATAATACAAGCATGTACTTGAGAAGAAAAAACAAATGCTTAGCCTAGAAGTAGAGCAGGAATGCCACTTATTTCTAAAATTTGAGAGAGGAGATTTTCCTTGAGACTTTCAAGTCCTCTTTATGTGACTGAGTCAAGTATTAAACATTTTTTTAAAAACACAGTAAATAGTTCACTTGGTTAAATATTAAGACCTACTCAAAGTCTGTTGGTTGGGTTAAAAAAGAAAGCCACAGTATAATTTGGAAAGATTGAGTGGAAAGAAAATTCATATGCTGGATCACACCCAAGCTTTCCATCCTGGGAAGAGCCGGCTGAGATTTTTGGGGTCCATGGCTTGCTGTATGAGCAGGTTCACTTGGCCCCCGACACTGAGCACCGTTCCTTCCTCCACTCCTTTCAGTTTCTCTTGCAGTCTCATCAGGACGCGTTCCGCTACTTTGTTGAAACTCTGGTCAGTGTCACTAAGGACAAACACACAGGTTGTGGTGAGGTGAGACAGGTCAAGGGCTTTGGGGACAGGAAGGACAGCAGGCCCTCGTTGGTAACAGACGGCTCACCTGAGATTGCGTTTGCATTCCTGGTCCTCTCCGGCGGGAGTGGACTGCAGCTCAGTGTCGTCCTCCGGCCTCTGCTGCAAATACAGAGCCTTCAGCGGGTTCATGGTCCAGTCAAACAGGGGGTCGTAGAGGAGAACCTGGACAGAATGTATCAGAAGACCAGTGTGCTTTCCAATGACAGAGACAGAGGAACCAGTGTGATAAAAAAGCACGGGCTAGTCGAATGGTAGGTGACTGGGGGGATCGGGATGACCCAACGAGGTACTTTGTTTCCTTGTGGAGGACACTGGGCTAGCATAATGCTCTGGGATGCTTCTCCCTTTCCGAATCCATTCCCCTCCTTGAGTGGAGGTGGTGACCTCCCTTGACCGCAGTTTCCTGACTAGTCTATTAAAAAGAGCTAAGGACTAGTCCTTTCCTTCTCTCCTCCTTTTCACCACTAGGGTCCTGCACAAGGGTAGGCTGTGCCAACTGAGAGATCAGCTGTGGGAGCTGGACAGCACCAGCAAGCCTAGGCCTAGGCCATCTTCACCCATCATTTTACCAGTAATAAAGCTAACATTTGGATTTCTATTCTTAAGGCTTTTTCTTCTTCTCTCAATGAGTTCTAAATTGCACTGGCGAGAACAAAGGGTATACTCTACTGAAAGCTCCTCCCAACCCAAGGTCCCTTTTGTGGGTGAACCTGGTCTGGATCTCAACTCTAAAGCATGTCACACAGTAACCCTGGAACTTAGGCACAAAGTGCATATATATTCTAAGTCACTGCCCCCACAGTTTTTCGTGGCCCTGGCGGTTGCCCGGAACAGCATCAAACAGCGGGCAGATTTTGGTACTGCTGATGCAGGACACGGCCTAGAATGAAACATGGTCCCAGCCTATGGAAGTACCGAAAAAACACAAAAAGGGCGGCAGCACAAAGTGGAACGTCTGCTCACCTGCAGATTTCTGCACACTGACTCTGTGTTCTGCGACTTCACTGAATTCATTTATCAGCTCTACTAGTTTTTGGTAGAATCTTTTGGGTTTTCTGCTTTTGGTATCCTGTCATCTGCAAACAGTGAAAGTTTACTTCTTCCTCACAAAGCTGGATGCTTTTCTTTCTGTTGTCTGACTGCTGTGGCTAGGACTTCCAGGACTATGTTGAATACAAGGGGTGAGAGTGGGCAGCCTTGTCTAGTTCGACCGTAGAGGGAAAGCTCTGTTTCTCCCTATTGAGGATGATGTTTGCTGTGGGTTTTTCATATCAGGCCTTTATGATGTTGGGTCTGTTCCCTCTAAACCTACTTTGCTGAGGGATTTCATCATGAATGGATGTTGTACTCCGTGAAATGCTTTTTTCTGTGTCTACTGAAATTATAATAGGATTTTTATCCTTTCTCTTGTCAATATATCACTGATTGATTTGCAATACTGAACCACTCTTGCATACCAGGAATCAATCCCACTTGGCCACATGGTGAATGATTTTTTTAATGAAATGCTGAATTCAGTTTGCTAATATTCTGTTGAAGGTTTCTGCCTCTATGTTCATCTGGGATATTGGCCTGTAGTTCTCTTTTTTTATGTTGTGTTCATCAGGTTTTGGTATCAGGGTGATATTGGCCTCATACAATGACTCGGAAAGTTTTCCTTTCTTTCCCATTTTTTGGAAATAGTTCGAGAACAGGTATTCTTTTTTACATGTTTGGGAGAATTCCCTTGAGAAGCCATCTGGTTCTGGAGTTTTATTTGAATCAGTCCTCAAAAACTCCCAACAATTTCTTACTGGTAATCAGTCTGTCCAAACTTTTTACTTCTTCCTGCTTCAGTTTTGGTAGGTGCTTCTAGGAATTTACCCATTTCTTCCAAGTTGTCTAATTTGTTGGCATAGTTTTTCGTAATATTCTTATAATTGTGTTTCTGGGTTGTTATTTCTCCTATTTGTGATTTTGAGTCCTTTCTCTCTCTTTTTCTTTTGATGAGTCTTGCTAGAGGTTTATCCATTTTGTTGATTTTTTTCAGGAACCGGCTCCTGGTTTCACTTTATTTTTTTAAGCTTCTATTTCATGTATTTCTGCTCTACTTCTTATTATTTCTTTCCTTCTACTGGTATGGGTTTTGTTTGTACTTTTTCTAACTCTTGTAGGTGTTAAGGTTAGGTTGTTTGGGATTTTTCTTGCTTCTTGAGGTTGGCCTGTATTGCTATACGCTTCCACTGAGAAATGCTTTTGCTGATCACAATACTTTGTACCATTGTGTTTTCATGTACTTTTTGATTTCTTTGATTTTTTTGGTTGACCCATTCATTAAGTAGCATGTTATGTAATCTCCATGTATTTATGGCCTTTCCAGATTTTTTCTTGTGGTTGACTTTGTAACAGTTTCTTAGCATTGTGGTCAGAAAAAATGCATGGTATAACCTCATTCTTTTTTAATTTGTTGAGACTTGTTTTATGGCCTAATATGTGATCTGTTCTGAAGAATGTCCCATGTGACTTGAAAATAATGTGGATCTGCTATTTTAGGGTGGAATGTTCTGAATATATCTGTTAAGTCCATCTGGTCCAGCTGGTCATTCAAAGCCACTGTTTCCTTGTTGATCTTGTTTCAAAGGTTGGTCCATAAATGTAAGAGGGGTGTTAAAATCCCCTGCTATTATTTCTAGTATTTCTCTTGATTAGTTCCTTTATGTTTCTTATTAACTGTCTTATGTATTTGGTTACTCCCATATTGGGTGCATAAATATTTACAGTTTTGTATACCTTCATGCTAGATTGTCCCCTTTATTATTATTTTTTAAAGATTTTATTTATTTGAGACACAGAGAGCACAAATGGGGAGGAGAACCAGAGGGAGAGGGAGAAGCAGACTCCCCACTAAGCGGGGAGCCTGATACGGGGCTCAACTCCGGGACCCTGAGATCATAACCTGAGCTGAAGGCAGATGCTTAATTGACTGAGCCACCCAGGCGTCCTCTGTCCCCTTTATTTTTATACCGTGTTATTCTTTGTATGTTTTTACAGTCATTGTTTTAAAGTCTATTTCGTCCAATATAAATATTGCTACTTCCCCTTTCTTTTGACATTCATTAGCATGAAGATGGTTCTCCATCCCCTCACTTTGAGTCTGCAGGTGTCTTTAGGTCTGGGGTTAGTCTCTTGTAGGCAGCACATAGATGGGTCTTGTTTTTTTTTTTTTATCCATTCTGTCATCCTATGACTTTTGATTGGAGCTTTTAGTCCATCCACATTCAAAGTAATTACTAATAGATATTTATTGCCATTTCATTACTTGTTTTGTGGTGGTTTTTGTAGTTTTTCTCTGATCCTTTTCTGTCTCTCTTTCATGGTTGTTAGTTTAATGATATGCTTGGATTCCTTTCTTACTTTTTGCATGTCTATTACTGGTTTTTGATTTGTAGTTACCGTTAGGTTTGTGATGTCCTCTGCCTATAGCAGTCTATGTGAAGTTGATGATGGCTTAGGTTTGAACCCACAGTGAGGTACATTTTATTAAATCGTGAAAAGGAATGGAGGCTTCTAGTACTACAAAGAGCCTATATGGCCGTCTTGGGTTTCAGTAGAGAAACAACACAAATTATTTCAAACCCTAGGGGCTCTGTTAGGAGTCATATTTGTGAATTTTGAATTCAAGTAAGAACCAGAGTACTTCAAAAAATGATTTGAGTCTTACTATCAAAACAGAAGCTGAATGAAAACAATAAAGGACTACAGACGGATTAAGCTAGAGCAGGGTTTCTTAGTGCCGGCACTACTAACATTTTTGGCTGACTACTTCTTTGTTGCAGGGGCTGTCCTGTGTGTGACAGGATGGTTAGCAGCATCCCTGGCCTCCAACCAGTGGATATCAATAGCTTTTAAAAAAACACAAATGTCCCTGCCCTACCCCTGGAAGTATGGTTTGAATACGGTCAACGTGAGTATTTTTTAAGAGCTGTGTAGGTAATACTCAAGTACGGCCCGCCGAGCACCAGGGGTTAGAGGATAAGCGCTGAGGCTGTAAGTGAGGGAGGCCGGCCCGTGCTCCGCTGCCCACGTTTCCTTGTGCAGGAAACACCTGATCTCTTGCCCCACACACCAGCATGGTGAGTCATTGCTTTAAGGGACAGAATTCTCTCTGGGGTAGAGCTAATGCCATTAAGCACTGGAAATCTGCATCATTTCCTTTTCTTTCTTCCTGATCAACATGAGGCAGTGATTACACATTCTGAACCTGGGCTGGGGTAAAGGCGATATAATTTAATGATTTCTCTCCAAAACCCAACAGAAACCATTCTGAAAGCAAGTTGTGCCACAGGAGAGAGTGAAGATGTCAAAGTGCTGGTTTATGAATTAAATACTAGAGATGAGTTACGGTGCTGTAACATGCCCCAAAACCTGGAAGGACTGGAGGCATTTCTGAACCACTGTGTCCTGACGTGCACACCTCACTCCCTCCTGCTCCCTAGCACCATCCCACCACATTACCAGGAAGCACCGATCCTCAAATCAGTGACATCCTAACAAGATACAGTCTAACAGCAGAGAAATAAAGATTTTAGGGGAGCTGGGATTTCAGTCAGTAAGGCAGCCCCCTTCAGCTCGGGCTGTGATCCTGGGGTCCTGGGAAGGAGCCCCGCATTGGGCTCCCTGCTCAGTGGAGAACCTGTTTCTCCATCTCCCTCTGCCCCTCCTCCCTGCTTGTGCTTGCTCTCTCTTTCTCAAATAAGTAAGTTAAATAAATAAAATCTTTAAAAAAATTTTTTTATTTGATGGAAAGAGAGATCACAAGTAGACAGAGAGGGGGAAGCAGGCTCCCCGCTGAGCAGAGAGCCCGACATGGGGCTCGATCCCAGGACCCTGAGACTATGACCTGAGCCAAAGGCAGAGGCTCAACCCACTGAGCCACCCAGGTGCCCCAGTAAGTTAAAAATTTTTTAAAGATTTAAAATATTCAAGATTTCCTTTTACTTTACCTCCACTATGGTCAGCAGGGTTTCCTGAGAGCTTCTCATGACCTCCATGGTTTTCTCGCAGCATCTACAAACACATTACAGAAATGGATTTTGTTACACACCAGCGTTTCCAACATCTCTTCATCCTTGTTATTCGTGTATACTGGGCCGAGACGGTTCTTGTTAATGACTCCCAAATTAATATCAAACAGCACGACATTAGGCAGACTGGGTTTTCAGTAAATGTTTTTGAAAAGAATGTAATTATCTATGTGAGTGTAAGCTAAGCTTTAAAAGAACACAGGGGAGGAGTCAAGATGGCGGAGAAGTAGCAGCTGAGACTACTTTAGGTAGCGGGAGATCAGCTCGATAGCTTATCTAAAGATTGCAAACACCTACAGATCCAACGGGAGATCGAAGAGAAGAAGAACAGCGACTCTAGAAACAGAAAATCAACCACTTTCTGCAAGGTAGGACTGGTGGAGAAGTGAATCCAAAGCGACGGGAAGATAGACCGCGGGGGGAGGGGCCGGCTCCCGGCAAGCGGCGGAGCAACGGAGCACAAAATCGGGACTTTTAAAAGTCTGTTCCGCTGAGGGACATCG